CATTAGTACAACGTAGCTTCCTGAGGAGTGTTGTGCGAAAACTAGTTCGAAGTACAATTTTTTGTTCATCATTTCTTCCATATCACATTTTTTCTTTCTTCCATGTTCTTCACTGCCTTCGTATACACTCGTTTTTTGAATACAATAAAAGCCTTTGTGAAAATGTCGGTTCAGCTCGTTCTGTTGATCGCAATTCTAAAATAATAATAATAATAATATTAACTGGTTTGAGGGAAAGAGACAAACGGGAAAAGTCTGAAGAAAAAATTGACTGTCACCACCAGGACTCGAACCAGGGACCTTCGCTTGTAGCCAGCGATGCTCTAACCACTGAGCTATGGTGTAGTCGTCATCCAAGCAGAGGCCGTTCAACATTTTCTTCAGACTTCGTAACTCACACTTCCTATGAATCCACACAGGCGGGTGGGACGCAGCCCTCACTGTAACCCACACACTTCACGTACAAACTAGCACGCGGGGAGCCCCAAGTCATAAAATATTAACTGGTTTGAGGGAAAGAGACAAAATAATAATAATAATAATAATAATAATATCTTTATTAGGATGACCCAGAGGCATACAGCCAGACCTCGCTTATCCGGTCTTCTTTTGTCCGGATCCTTCGCCATCCGGAAGAAAATCGTTGGTTGCCGATTTACAGCATTTGCCATACATACAGTAAGCATGTTCGATTATCCAGTTCCCTCGCCTATCCGCATATGTTTTGTGGAAAACGGATGCGAGGTCTGACTTTACACCTAGTCTCTATTCTCTTTCCCTCTGGGCGTGGTAACGACCGCATGAGCAAAACAAAGCAGGGGAAACATCTGATGACCATCACATCGAGATCTGCTGGGCAATATCAACCATTAGTCTCGATTCTCTTTCCCTCAATGACCGCGTTACTGATCTTGTGCCCAGCACACTGAAGTAGTATTAGGGACCGTTCATTACCAGGCAGGGGCGTCGGACAAGCTACGGTCACTACGGTTTTGACTGTACAGGCGTCCCTCTCTCATCCAGCATGCACTTTAAAAATCAGCACCCTCCATAAGCCAGCACAATCTTCAGTAGCCAAAATGTCCTCTTCATGCACATTGCAGCAGTAAATCCGATTTGTTAATCCAGCACCCTCACCCTCCCTTATCCAGCAGATTTTCCGCGGCACAAATGCTGCCGGATTATAGAGGGACCACTGTAATACTCTTTGCCCCAGGTACCATGTGAATTCATAAAAAACACTGATTTTAAGTGATTTACCACTCTTTGCCCCAGGTACCATGTGAATTCATAAAACAGGCACTGATTTTAAGTGATTTACCACTCTTTGCCCCAGGTACCCTGTGAATTCATTAAAAAACACTGATTTTAAGTGATTTACCACTCTTTGCCCCAGGTACCATGTGAATTCATAAAACAGGCACTGATTTTAAGTGATTTACCACTCTTTGCCCCAGGTACCCTGTGAATTCATTAAAAAACACTGATTTTAAGTGATTTACCACTCTTTGCCCCAGGTACCATGTGAATTCATAAAACAGGCACTGATTTTAAGTGATTTACCACTCTTTGCCCCAGGTACCCTGTGAATTCATTAAAAAACACTGATTTTAAGTGATTTACCACTCTTTGCCCCAGGTACCATGTGAATTCATTTAAAAAACACTGATTTTAAGTGATTTACCACTCTTTGCCCCAGGTACCCTGTGAATTCATTTAAAAAACACTGATTTTAAGTGATTTACCACTCTTTGCCCCAGGTACCCTGTGAATTCATTAAAAAAACACTGATTTTAAGTGATTTACCACTCTTTGCCCCAGGTACCCTGTGAATTCATTAAAAAACACTGATTTTAAGTGATTTACCACTCTTTGCCCCAGGTACCCTGTGAATTCATTAAAAAAGTACTGATTTGTGCTCTAAGTTTTGAGGAGACACGCCAACCCCACGAGTAAATGGTACTCCGGGTGGCTGGTCATACTGCCCTAAAATACCTTCCGACGTCCCTGACCCCTCATTCCAGGAGACTTACTGTTGCTGGAGCTGGTGTGCTCAGCCGGCGACGGAGCATCTGAGGTGCTGGTCGTCAGCAGTCCAGTTGTCGTTGGTGCTGCGGTTGTTGGTGGTGGCTGGGTTGTTGGTGGCGGAGTGGGCACAGCAATGACGCCAAACCAAGCTGTGCTGCTCAGGCGACTGTTGCGAGCCGTGCACGAGTAGTTGCCGATGGCGGATGTCGCCGAGTGCCCGCTCAGCGACAGGATAGAGTAGGACATGTCCAGCTGGTGCTGTATGGCAGCAGCAGAAACACACACACACACACACACACGCACACACACACACACGCACGCACGCACACACACACACACACACACACACACACACATGCATACATGGCGTCGGCTTCTACAGGAATAAGCTTAGCTCTAGCACGCGACATAACGGGTATGTATCACACTACTTCGTCATTCTGTGAGAGCTTGGACAATCCACTTGTCCAGGCAAGAAGGCAGCAATGCCTGCTGTATATTCTGGCAAAGTAAAAATAAAACATACCAACCAACCAACCAGCTAACTTGTATAAGCAAAATATATCAACCCTGCTGCTAAATTCAATTTGCTCATGCACGAGCCACGCTCACCCGTACATCTAGTCAGATCACAGCTAGCCATGAAATTTCCGCATCGTACTATTATTATCTCTTATTCGGCACAGGCCATCGTGAGAATAAAGATTTGAAACTTTGCGACATGCTTTGGAGCCGTCCGTGATTATCGATCTTTTTCACGAAGAGAAAAAAGTTTCGTTTAAGGGTGGGTGGGTTGAGGAGAGTTTCGTTTTGAAAATTATTGATAGCTGAAACATCAATTCATTTTAGCTGTCAAGTCAATAATTATTATTTTTCGTTGAAGGGGATGGGTGGGTGGGGGAGGGTCAAAACTAAACTTTTTCGTTCCGTGAAAATTATCGATAATGCCGGATGGCCCCTTACCAAGGTGACGGAGGAGCTGCTGATTGTTTTGCCGATGATGCCGGTCGGCCCAGTCCAGGCAATCTCCCCACTGACCACACCGGCAAAGATACACGTCAGCGACAAGCCGCCGTGCCGGGACAGGTAGAGAGTCGGACGCTGGACAGGACGGAGAAGAGTCGGCGCGGCTGCAAATACACCACGTGGTGTGGAGCACACCATACACAACGACACGCAGCTGATGAATGTCGACCATAGCTTAGCTGGTACAGAATTTGCTTCTTCACCACACAAAGCCCGGACAGTAAATCATGAAAATTGAAGTCTCTTTAAAACAAATCCATGTTCGTTTCACCCCGAAGTCCACTTCTTCGCCCTTTAAGTCCACTGTAACAAGGTGTGACTAGTATTTGGGGACACACGGTACCAAGAGTATATAACCCCCCCCCCCCCCCCAGAGTGTGCAACTCCTGATACCCTTTCTATGGGGTTCGCCGACGGCGAAAACTCACATCATGTGGTGCAGTGTCGCAGTTGTGCGTTTCCAGCCCGTTTTTTAATATGCAAATCCCCAGCATGGTCATGGCAGATACTGTTAATATACAAAATTCCGGCGCTGCAAAATTTCGGCACTTCACGATTTTTGACATTTCGGCGGCGATTTATTTTCGGCGTGGGGTAGAGGGCATGGTATAGTGCGACAGATGCTGTGAAAAATTTCATCGGCATTTTAATTTAGGCGTTTTGGGTCGGTGCAGAATATAGCCGAAATTAAATAGCTGGCGAAAATTTGTATATTTACAGTATTCGGATCGCACGCATGTTATCCCTTGTTGTACATAGTACAAACGTACCTGAGACACGTGATGTGAGTTTTCGCCATTGGAGACCCCATATGCAGAGTTGCACACTATTGGGGGGGGGGGGGGGGGGGGTTATAATACTCTTGGTAATACCCGTGGATCCCCGCGTCAATTCATCATGTTCATCAGGACTCACAATGGGACGTATGAATCCATTTCCCGTCATTAGGTTTTGCGGGGCTAGTCCACTACAACTGTGCACACCTTGATACCAACTCTGCATAAAGGGTCATGAACTTTGTAAGGTCATACTCATATACTCATATAATTATGTACTATAACGGGTTGTACCTGTGCTGTGTATACGTCATACTTCATAATATGATGACTCCTCTTTTCTCTATCATACTGAGCATGCGTCATAACAACATGGTCTTTTTGTCCGTCACTACTCTATGAACTGTTTGTGTGTTAGTGAGGTCCGACACAACAACCTGTGAAGTGTGGGGCAACTTGTCCCGCAAAAAGGTCACGGCCATTTTAGATGCATACCTCCATTGTTTTTAAATATCTTTTTCACTTGGGCATTCCCAACAGACCTTAAGGCCTTCTTACAGGGTGCCCAAGATGTATGTCGTGAGTTCCTGGCGAATGGATGGATAAGGGCGATGTGATAAGTGCAAAGGGATTCGGGGATGTGATAAGGGCGAAGGGGTTCGGGGATGTGATAAGGGCGAAGGGATTCGGGGATGTGAACACAAAAGACTTACGATGACATCGTTTCTGCGCGTCCGGTGGCAGTCCATCTTGACAGATACACACGTGTGTGGCAATGCCTGTTTGATGTCGACACTCGGTGTAGGCTGGACATGCGTGTAGATTGGTTGTACAGAGGTTGATTTCTGTACACATGAAGGCATGCACATCCACACACGTACAAACACGTTCACACATACACACATGTACACACACATACACACATGTACACACACACACACACACACACACACACACACACACACACACACACACACACACACACACACACATACACACACGTACACAAACATACACACATACACACACACAAAGTAATATTCAAGACATTGAAACATTCGTCAGTTTCAAGCAATGAAAAGCGAAAACAGCAAAGAACAATTGACATCGAAATACAGTGCTGCTCAATGAACTCCAATCACTCTCAAGTACTTAGTACGCGCCGGGCGTAGCGCATCCCTCGACCTGCGAACACTGGGCTGCGCAATGATGCAAGGCGCAAACTTGAGTGACGCAACTGGATTTCGTTGAGCAGAACTGTACTTGAAACTGATCCGTAGAAAGACGTGCACGCTATCTACAACCTACTGTAGGGGACATTAAAATCCGTTGACAAGTCAAATGAACACGAGGTGCTGCGGCCGCGAGCTCAGCTCGTATATTTCCACAGCGTGTGCGTAAACTACTGCAAGTCAACACAAATATTCGGCGCATATTTATTTTCGGCTGTTTTCGGGCTGGCCATGTTCGGCCGAAAATTGGATGCGTCCGAAATTTTGTTTTGCAAGGTTCAGTGTGACAGTGTATACAGGCGGCAGCAGTACATATTTACCATTTAGCAGCTCGCATATGCCATTGTTCTATGTGGAAAACGCGCACTTGCGCCATTTCTGCTGTATACAAATGATCATTCCTTCACACTCCATTATCATCATGATCATCCTCTACTGATGAGCTCCGGCAGGGAGCGAAACAGCTGTCTGGAGGCGTGGAAAAATATTATCTCTCAACGGAAGTGTCCTCGCTGGTGTCTGTATGGTTCGGCTGAGAGCGCGTGGTTGTGATGAGTTGGGAATGCAATAAATTGAAAATATGGCCGAAAGCTCTGTCGCAGTATTTAGTTGAGCAGCAGTACAGGCCGAAAATTTGTTGCAGCCGAAAAGTGTTTTAGCTGTGGGAGGCCAAAATTTGACTGGACCAAACATTATCAAACTAGTGCATGTACTGTACTCACTTGATTAGAAGCCCCTCTCGAATAAAAGCCCCCCTACAAGGACTGTTTGAAAAAATACAAGCCCCTCTCGAATAGAAGCCCGGACTACTATTCGCAAAGCGTGGGGTGACCAGGTAGTGCCATGTATGAAGGTCAAGTGTGCAAAAAACACCCCGTGCATGTTCATATTGGTACATGTCCTGGTCGACGTAGTGTGTGCAAACAAACTCGGGGACGAGTTGCTGTGAATATGAAAGTTTCAGAGATTCGATTGGAATACTGGAATGGAATGAAACAATAAAAGCCCCTCTCCAATAGAAGCCCCTCTTGAATAGAAGCCTCCTCAAAATTGGTATTGAAAAAATAGAAGCCCCCGGCTTCTAATCGAGTGAGTACGGTATGCGCTAAAACTAAATGCAGTGAGGGTGTCGGCCCAGGTGGATGCCAACATGTGAATCACTTTCCAAAGCACACCTGCCTGGCTGGTCTAAACCACACGCAGAGCATCTACAAGCCCACAACCATGCGCATGCTCTACCTATGCGCACACGTAGACGTGCGCACACGTACACATACACGCACATACACACACACACACACGCACGCATGTGCACACACATGCACACTCACACACACACACATACACACTCACACACACATACCTCCCTCTCCCCTACACATACACATACACACACACACGCACACACACAAAGATTAGCTCTAACATATTACCATAGCAACCGCCCGTGCTCTCCACGCCGGTGCCATTGTAACCATAGCGACATGAGCAACTGTAGCTGCCCACTGTATTGTTACACACGGCCACTGGTGATGTACAGCTAGTGGCCACGGCGGTGCTGTTAGCACACTCGTCAATATCTGCCGCATGTACACATACACATACACCATTACAATACACACACACACACACACACACACACACACACACACACACACACACACACACACACACACACACACACACACACACACACACACAGTTCATGATACTGTACGGAGTGGCGGCACAATTGAACTGTACCGTAAAAGTCCGTAAGGGAGCATCTCATAAGTTCGCATTTATTTTGCAAACGTAACGCATTTCGAATAGACTTTACCCCCCTACCTCCCCCCTCTATTCGAAAGTCTTATCGCACATTTTCTGTGTTTATCTACTGTACACGTCCGGCATGCCCCATGCTATGGTATACTTATGTACATGATTGTACATGTACATGTACATGGATATGAATGTTTTGCTAGAGCGGTCGTGAATGGCAGTACCACGTTTACTGAGTACAAGTACAATCAATGACATGTACACGCACATAAACATAGTTCCTCCACAACAACTGTACTGCTGTAAACGCTGGCCAGGTACATGTACACGGTTTGATCAGGCTGGTGTGACATTTGACACCTCTGAGTAGCCTGCATGCATGCAGTGCAAGGGTTAGCTGATCTGCAAACACAGGTAGATCTCCACCACTCATTTGCTGCAGGGATCTAGCACGGTAGTACAGACTGTAGATTGTACAGTTCCAGAAAATGTGCGAACAGTCATTTTTCTATTCGAAAAGGGCGCTACCCCCCCCCTACCCCCGTTTCGAAATGCGTTACGTACAGAAACAAAATGCGAACTTATGAGATGCTCCCTAAATAAGTACGTATTTACTTTCGAATTTAGTGACCACACCCGTACTAACTTTCGGGCGGGTACTGACTTTCGGGCACGAACTAACTTTCGGACCTGACTAGTGTGTAGTGGAGAAGTCATTTTCATGTTGATGTACATGCTACGTGCTGCATGTGCGCATCGTACCGGTACTTATTTCGGGCAGTATGTTTATCGGGCTTGACTTGACTTCAACAGACAGAGCCAAAAGAATGAAGGGGGTATTTCTTTCGGGCAGGTACTTATTTACGGACTTTTACGGTATTTTAGAAACTCAATGCACACACACACACACACCTTGGACCTTGGACCTTGGACGCGCTGCCATATTCTGGCTATGCGGACCCCATGGGGGGTTGAGCAGGTTCGGAACAGTAGGGGCGATGACGGGATAGGTCCTGTGGTCTACTGAAACGCCGACCGCAATTGCAAACGATACAGAAGGAGCTACGGTCTGTGTTGGTTGCTCTGGCCGAGCCACGGCTGCACTTGTGACGTTTCATGCCTTGGCGCGATAGCACACAGCGGTTGCAGCGGGCGCAGTGGAAACTGCAGCGTTCGCAGGACATATTGTTTGTAACCGGTGACTCAAGTGTGTCAGAAGATGCCTCTGCTGGTGATGTTGGTGGCGAGCACTTGTGTCGGGCAAATCCACCCTTGCTCCGGAACCATCTGTCGCACTGATCGCAGTGACAGCTTCCTGGCTGTTGGCTTACGGGTAGGGCACGCGTAGCTGTACACTTGTGTCGCTTCCTGTCACTTACACGACTGAAGGAGCGGTGACAAGTTTGGCACACAACCGGTGATGGTCGAGGTCTGTTCTGCTTGTCTGGCAGACAACAGTAAGCCTGGCGCCATTTGGAGCGAGAAGAGGTGGCCACTTCATACCAGTCGTCAAGTGGTTTGACGTCACTCCGAACACAGTCTCGCCACCTTTTCCGCGGACCATGGGCAGGTCTCTTGTTTGGAAACGAACCGAACAGTAGAGCCTTCGGGATGCGCTCATCCTCCATCCTTGCCACATGACCAAGCCACTCAAGGCGACGTCTGCTGAGACGACACTCCATGTCCAAGGTATCTCCCCAGCGCTCCAGAACTTCAACATTAGTTATCCTGTCATTCCATACATCTTGACGACTGATGCCCAGAATGGTGCGGACACAACGGAGATGAAAGACAGACAACGCATGAACATCAGCCTGTAGCGGTACCCAGCATTCGGACCCATAGAGCAGAGTCGACAGCACACACACACACACACACACACACACACACACACCTCAGACCTCAGACATGCCCATCGCGTAAGCGATGATAGCGAACAGCTATGTTAGACATAGCAACTTGTGCTGGGATTACACCATTCAACAGATTGCAAGGCTGATGAATTGACCGCTACTATTTTCTAGCCTGGTATCCACCACACAGCTGATTGAAGTGGCTTACACACACACACACACCCACACCCACACATCCCCCCCCCAGCACACACTTACCCATGCACCCGCCACCGACCGTGGTCCGCACAAATCCGCTGGCACAGTCGCACACATACGACCCGACAGTGTCGCGGCACGTCTCGTTGCCCCGGCTACAGACGGCATCGGCCGGAATTGTTCCCGTGCCAACAACACACTCATTTACATTGACGCAGCTTTCCGTCGAGTTACTCCGGAAACCTTGAATGCAGTCGGCTGAGCAGCTTGCTTGTAGGCCATTCTTGGTGCAAGTCCGCCGATCGCTGCATGGCCGCGGGCTGCACGGGTCTATGGTCTCGTTGCACATGGCTCCCTCTAAACCTGATGTGGGGGCACATATACATACAGAGACAGACACACAGACAAAGACACACACACACATACACAGACAGACAGACAGACAGACACACACACACACACACACACACACAGACAAACACACACATAGACACAGACAGACAGACACACAGACACACACACACACACACACACACACACACACACACACACACACACACACACACACACACACAGAGACAAACACACACATAGACACAGACAGACAGACAGACACACAGACACACACATACACACTTTGTACTTGTACTTGTTGCTCACTGCCAAAACTGATCACGTACACACACACCTCAGACCTCAGACCTGCCCATCGGGGAAGCGATGATAGCGAACAGCTATGTTAGACATAGCAACTTGTGCTGGGATTGCACCATTCAACAGCTTGCAAGGCTGATGAATTGACCGCCACTATTTTTAGCCTGGTATCCACCACACAGCTGATTGAAGTGACTTTTTCTGGCCAGTGAATCCCTATTTTTCATTTTCCATTTTTTCATTTTTTCTTCTTTTTCTTCTTTTTTGACACACACACACCACACCACATACTCCGGCATACACTGGCTGTTGGTAACCACCCAGGAGAATGAAAGAAGAGCTAGGAGAATGAGAAAGAGAAGAGAGACACGTGCGACCATAATCGTCGGGAATTGAACCCGCAACCTCTCGATTGGAAATCGACTGCACATACCACTGCACCATATGGGACACACACACACACACACACACACACACACACACACACACACACACACACACACACACACACACAAACGGCAACACGGATAAGAAAAGAGAGACACGCACGTGCGTGGGCGGGCATTTAAACGGGAACACAGATCAACAGATGCAAAGTCCGAGAGACACATAGGGGAAGGCAGGCGGGCACAGAGACAGACAGTTCGGAAAAGGACAATGACACACCGGTATACGTCCAGCCAATCGATTAACAATTGCAATGGTGGATAACCACGCCACACAACGGGGACAAGACTAGACTGATTGGTGGTGATATGGTATAACATTTCGACGGTGGTTTTCTGAGGGTGTGCTCGAATTCTCTACTAATCTCTAGCTTCTCATGTGTGCAGTGAATGGGATTTTCGGTCTTTGACCACTTGTTGGTGAGCTGATCTACTCACCTCCCACCGCTTTAGGAGCTGCATCTGCGCCTTGATCCTTGAAGGGTGGTGGCGTTCCTACGGATGCGGAAAACTCGGTTTCCAGCCGAGTCTCACACGAACCGTGAATTTTTTTTAAAATTTTTTCTCGGAGAACTGGAAGTCGAAGAAACTGGAATAATTAATTTTAGGAACGGGTCTCGGAAAATTCGGAGATCTTTTGCACGTGTGAAGCGCCAAAGGGATCTCGAGTGACGCAACTATAATGAGCACTGTGAGTGGAGTAACGTTGCGTATAGAAGCAGATGCTTACGGCTGTACGTATACAAAATTCACGGTTCGCGTGAGACTCGGCCGGAAGCCGGGCTTTCCGCATCCGTAGGAACGCCACCACCCTTCAAGGACGTACGTATAAGCCGGGATTCACGCCATGCTTCATCCTAAAACATTCTTCATCCTAAAACATTCTTCATCCTAAAACATTCTTCATCCTAAAACATTCTTGTTCGTAAACTGTCAACATCTTCACTCTTCAAGCTACACCGTATACGCGGGGGTGCAAACCATGCTTCTATTCAATTTATACTTCACCTCGAAAACATTCTTCTACGTCAACACATGTCACCATCTTCCCTCTTCAGTCTACGCTGCAACTTCCAGTGCGTACTGCCAAGCAGCACACAGCACAGTACATGCTTTGCTTCTACTTCACAAATGTCTCATGCCCAATCGCGGGTTGCTATTCGCAGGGTTGACCGCATGTGTGTGTGTGCCAGTTCACCAGAAAAGTGGCAGAGCAATGCGCTTTACCAGCCACATGGCAAAATCGGTGCACAGCAGCGCAGTGAATGTGCGGACAAAGTCGTTCTCGCGAATATAACAACACACGTCTCTCATGCCCAATCGCGGGTTGCTATTCGCAGGGTTGACCGTATGTGTATGTGTCAATGCACTGGCAAATTGTATATGCTTTTCGGGATGAACTAGACTTCAACGGACAGAGGCCACAACAGGATGAAGGGGGTATATGTTTACAGTCAATTTCGAAAAATATAGACGCATGTTATTTTTGAAATATTTCAAATTTGACTGGAGCTATTCGAGAATTTCTTTCGGAATATTGCTCAGGTCCTTCCTGCAATTACTCTCATGTTGATTTTTAAGCAATCGGATAGCAAACACCCAATTTCGAAATTTTTATGCGCAAAGTGATCACAGATTTTATGTGGTATAGATGCTGGCATAACGGTTTTTCGAAATCACGCGTCTACATTTTTGAAACGCACTGTAGGGCAGGTACTTATTCACTGGTTTGAGGGACTTTTCACTGGTTTGAGGGACTTTTCACTGGTTTGAGGAACTTTTCACTGGTTTGAGGGACTTTTCACTGGTTTGAGGGACTTTTCACTGGTTTGAGGGACCATTCACTGGTTTGAGGGACTTTTCACTGGTTTGAGGGACCATTCACTGGTTTGAGGGACTTTTCACTGGTTTGAGGGACCATTCACTGGTTTGAGGGACTTTTCACTGGTTTGAGGGACCATTCACTGGTTTGAGGGACTTTTTTCCGGTAGAGAAGAAGAGTAATCTCCCAGCCTTGGCAGCGTAACACGTGCACGGCAGTACAACTCCCGGGCGGAAAAAAGGCGTTCTCAAGAATAGCAACAACTCGCGGATATATAGACAGCACGTTTTTCATGCCCAATCGCGGGTCGTTATTCGCAACGTTGACTGTACATGAACACTGTAAAAGCAGACATTTTGGGTGGTGTAATATTTTCGGTATTCTCCAAAATCGGCGGTTCGGTGGAGGAAAACTCTCGGTAAACCCGTTTTTCAGGTAAGTGTACTAGTACCGAAATTTTCGGTGCGTTTTATTTTAGGTAAAAATTGTCGGCACCGAAGTACACCGAAAATAAAATGAAAACACCACCAACAAATTCCGCTTTTACAGTAGAGCAAAGGAAAGCACAATCAATCTCATCAAGAATGCATAAACAAGAGAACTAGAATGCAACTGTGGTTGTGGGTCAGTGCGCGACGCGCTGCCTTCATTACGTAACTTGCCTCCATCACGCCCAGAAAGCATGCACTCAAACCCACAATTTCTCGTACAAGCCCATCCGTTTTTGCTCGATTCGTTCCAGTACCTACGCGATCTCTAAATGTTGGCGCCTGAACTCCAGTTCCGTACGAAAGTTCATTTCAAACCAGAGGGAAAGTGCGGTGTTTGATTTTCCGCAGCGCGCGGACTGAAGCTGAATGATGTAATGAAGGCAGCGCGCCGAGCATCTGGCCCATAGAAAAGAGATCACAGTTGCATGCTCTTGTTTATGGACTCTTGATCTTACCAGCATGGCATGTACACGGCAGCACAGCGAACGGGCGCACGAAGGCAGACGCGTGACAAGTACCCGTCGTCGACGACGCACATCCACACACGGCGACCGGCACGGTCGTTGTGACGTTCACGCCGTTGCTATCGACGGCGGTTGCCGTGACGACGAGCGCGCCGAGGTCCATCGGCGCGTACGATATCCCTGTGCTAGTCGTCGCCGTGGTAACAAACCTTGCGCCCGGACCGGTCACGTTGAAAGTGATCTGGCCTGCTATGGTGGCGGAATTCAACGGAACGGCAGACACTGTGATGCTCGTGGTTGAACTGAGGGAGGCGACTTGTGTGGTGAACGTGATAATCGGCGCCAGTACAGCTGCGCATACAAGTAACAACAGGATGGGAGAGCATGGCACGCATATATGTATGAGCACAAGGGCACGAAAAGCCGTTCTGCTAATGATTTCAGCACTGTTTTAGTAATATCAAGACAAGAGGACTTCATACCGCATGTCAGCGCCTTTAAAGCCATGGCCTTACAGTCTGTATCGGCTATAGAGTGACCGGATATAAGAATATATCGGCTACAGTGATATTGGTACGAAATATCAAAAGCAAAACGTATTTTATCCAGTAAAAATATCACTATAACCAATATTATCGGATGTAATGATATATCGGATATTATGATGGCAACAAAGAATCAAAACATGCATAACACACTATATTATTATCGGCTATAGTGATAACTTTAAAATACATGTAGCAATAATATCAAAGGCCCTATTTTTTACTTTCTTCACGTTGCTTATTTTTATAGTAATACATGTACACGTACATACAGAATTTTTTGTATGGAAATGCGGGCACTGTCAACTATGCAGCATGCTCATTTGTCAAAACGCCATGCTGGAAGTATTTCCTTGCCTTTTATGTGTCGATCGGAAAAAGAAAAAAAATCGGTTGTATCGCATATAGTGATGCATCGGTTATAGTGATAAAATCACGGAAATCAAAAGAGTACGCTATAGCCGATACAGACTGTAGATTCGAAATACCGCTGCTTGCCTAGCTATTTTAGATGCAAAATGACTCGCCGGTTACACCATAAAAGTCAAAGTCCACACAGAAATTTCAATCTATATCCACTTGTTCACCCTTCCTGCTGGGCTGTAAGATTGTTAGCATAGTACTAATCGTCCTTCCTCTAAGCCCAACATGGACACGATTATTAATCTGGCCAACATCGAACTATCCCCTGTGCAAAAGGAATTACTTTGCCGGGGAACGGAGTTTGGTATTCCTCCTTCTAACAACAGAAAGGAAATAGTTCTTACGCAATTCGAAATGTTCCACAAAAAACTCATGAAGAATTTTACACCAGTGTCTGAAAATCAGCGTGCTATCTGTACGGCTAATCTTCGAGTCATCGCCGAAGAACACGCAGAAAAACCTCCAGACCGAAGCACAGTTTCATTATCCAGAGAACACCTTAAGGCTCGACGTCATTTAACGAACAACAACGATATTAGAATCACAAGACCAGACAAGGGTCGAGCTACAGCTATTATCAGCACACAAGAGTACAATACAAAAATGGCGGTCATCCTTGAGGACACGAGTAAGTTTGTCCAACTCGGTCTGGTATCTACTCATGACAACACAGTTCGAGTAGAGAAAAAGTTAAATAGTCTTCTCAAGAGACTTAAAGAAAATAAACAGATATCGGAGGAAGAGTTCTTCAAAATGCGGTCCATTGGTTCCGCCCGGCCACGTCTCTATGGGCTACCAAAAATACATAAACCGAACTGTCCGTTGCGCCCCATATTATCCATGGTTGCATCACCGCAATATAATATCTTTAAATGGCTGTGTGGTTGGCTTGACATCGTGCAAACGTTCTATTGCAAACATACAGTTAAAGACACCTTCGAATTCATTGACGTCCTTCGCTCCCACCCGGTTCCGGCCTCCGCGCATATGTGCTCGTTTGATGTTGTGAGTCTGTTCACGAACGTCCCGTTAGAAGAGACTATCAATATTTGCCTAGATGTGTTGTACCGAAATGATGAAGTTGACACGCCATGGATATCGGAGACGGCGTTCCGGGAACTGATGTTGCTCGTGACGACTGGTGTGGAGTTTTCCTTCGGTGACATTATGTACAGGCAGGTTGATGGGGTAGCCATGGGCTCTCCATTGGGTCCAGTTTTAGCGAATGTGTTCGTTGGTTACTGCGAGTCACTGATTGCAGAACAGTTGTGGCCAGCATTGTACGTTCGTTTTGTTGATGATTCCTTCACCTGGTTTGATTCTCTTGAAGATAGCCAAATCTTTCTTGGTATTCTAAATGACCTACATCCTTCCATACGTTTTACGTGTGAACACGAACAAGCCAACAAACTTCCCTTTCTAGACGTCCTTGTGGAAAAGTCTAGTCAGGGTACCGTAACATCTGTGTACAGAAAGCCTACATTCACCGGCCAGTACATAATGTTTGACTCGTATTGTTCGTACCAATACAAGGTGAATTTAGTGCGTAACTTGGTGGATCGAGCAGAGCGTATTTGCTCCTCTTCCAAACTAGCTGAGGAACTGGACTTCCTTAAGTCCGTTTTTCTAAAGAAAGGGTACCCTGACGATCTATTGAAGGAACTCATGAGCGAAAGGCTGGATAAAAAGGAAAAACGTTTTGGCCCGGACAAATGTCCCACGTATCTTTCTCTCCCCTGGAAAGGTAACCTATCATTATCCATGAGTCGCTTGGTACGGAAAATTGTACAGCAAACTAACTACGCGGTACATTTTGTACCCGTTTTCACAACTGTACGTGCGTTCACGGTGAGGAAGGATGTCCTACCAACCCAACTTGCATCTAAAATGGTATACCAATTTGAGTGCCGACAATGCGGTAGTCGGTATGTTGGTAGGACTCTTCAACATCTGAACGCACGTATCAAGCAGCACGTCCCACTGCATATGCTGACTGGCTCGGCACGGGCACTGCGACCAAAACGCGGCAGGCCACTGAAGAACCCTCGGCCACAGCCATCGTTAGCACAATTTCCGTCATCGGCAATAGTGCCTCCAGTACACGTATCGAGAGCCTTGGAGTCGGGTAATGGGCATATTGTCACCACAACACAATGCACCATAACAACACAAGATAACACACCACAACAACATTCAGCTCAAGACCAAAGTGGACGTTGTGATGAGGTAATGGACTCATCGCCGTCTTTGCCGTTGCCTCCCCCAGAACCGCCACCTACATCTATCATCGGCGGTGCTGGGGATGAGTCTGTGGTGTCGGTGGCACGTGCATATATGGATGAGGCAAGCACTGATTGTGAACAATGAGAAAGAAGGCTGAAGGGAACGGAATTCAACAAAGAAAGTAACACAATCAACATTCAAAGACCTAGACGATCAACGGCTAATTATTCAATGAATTATTACAGTACTGGAGATCAAGCACCGGCGAGGACACTGGGAACACAAGATTTAACAACAACAATGGTAACAATTTGCCATCAAGATCAAAGGAGGAGTCAACGAACAGAGGTTAAACAACATGAAGCGAGCCTGGGACCGATCGGTGTTGATGAGGAGAATGACACGGAGGACGACACTGAGGACGAGTTGGGAGATGAGACGGAGGACGCGGTTGCGGTTGTTGGAGACGAGGAATCAGATGGTGATTGTGATCGTAAGAAGTCTGCCGTTTTTCTTCACTTGTTGTCTCACCCTAAGTGTCTGCAGGTGTATGATGATTTTAGTTTTTCTGTTCTTTGTCGTGCACGGTATGCTAGTCAGTTGAAAGTACTTGAGGCTGTTTGTATTCGTTTGCATAAGCCTGATCTTTGTAAGCAGAAGAAACATGTAGTTGCGTTAAAATTGTTTTCGTAGGTGCACAGCATGATTGTTTGTCTCACTACACAGTTTTAGTGTTATAATTATTAGTTTTTCACCCACCGTTGCACTTAGCTCTCACTTCACTTCTATTGTCTCACCTTCCCTCATTCTATTTTGGCACTGTATTTTGTTCTCGTAACACATCATTGAATGTATATTAATCATTGTTCAGCATGGTTACTCTTCAGTCACGACTTTCCAGTGATGAATGTGACAAGAAAATTAATTCTGGTAAACTTTCATGACTTCGTTGTAGTGTGGCGATGACTGCAGAATTTGTTCTCTTTATTGCTATTATAGTACTAATTCCTTCATTCTTACAAAACATACTTCAAATGTCATTTCATTTATTAAGCCCATGGTTTTATAACTGAAACTGGCTTTATAATCGAATATACCTCCATGGCGTTAGAGGTGCGGACATACGGTAAAAGAAGAAAGTGCAACTCGGCGAGAATGAAACCCTGAACTCGGCGAGAATGAAACCCTGAACTCGGCGAAAATGAAACCCTGAACTCGGCGAGAATGAAACCCTGAACTCGGCGAGAATGAAACCCTGAACTCGGCGAGAATGAAACCCTGAACTCGGCAAGAATGAAACCCTGAACTCGGCGAGAATGAAACCCTGAACTCGGCGAGAATGAAACTCTGAACTCGGCGAGAATGAAACCCTGAACTCGGCGGGAATGAAACCCTGAACTCGGCGAGAATGAAACCCTGAACTCGGCGAGAATGAAACCCTGAACTCTGCGAGAATGAAACCCTGAACTCGGCGAGAATGAAACCCTGAACTCGGCGAGAATGAAACCCTGAACTCGGCGAGAATGAAACCCTGAACTGGGCGAGAATGAAACCCTGAACTCGGCGAGAATGAAACCCTGAACTCGGCAAGAATGAAACCCTGAACTTGGCAAGAATGAAACCCTGAACTCGGCGAGAATGAAACCCTGAACTCGGCGAGAATGAAACCCTGAACTTGGCGAGAATGAAACCCTGAACTCGGCGAGAATGAAACCGTGAACTCGGCGAGAATGAAACCCTAAACTTGGCGAGAATGAAACCCTGAACTTGGCGAGAATGAAACCCTGAACTTGGCGAGAAAGAAACACTGAACTCGGCGAGAATGAAATCCTGAACTTGGCGAGAATGAAACCCTGAACTTGCCGAGAATGAAACCCTGAACTTGGCGAGAAAGAAACACTGAACTCGGCGAGAATGAAACCCTGAACTCGGCGAGAATGAAAACCCGAACTTGGCGAGAATGAATCCCTTCTAGATTGCCACACCTCGCACTAGTCTACCTGCACATGGTGATTCATGGCCGCAGCTGCCGTTACGCACCGCCGTTTTCTCCAACACTCGGAGAAACTTTATTTTTGTCACAATTATAACTCTTGATTTGCAGCGTAAGACCGTCGAGGTGGACTGGTGGTAAAATTAGTTAAATAATCCAAATCTTCTCTGGATAGTGGTTGCTGTACCAACAGAGATTTTAGTCGCTGAAAGAAAGTACGTCCGATTGGAAATTTCGTACCAGCAACAATAACACATGCTGGAAATCTGGACAAATCAGCATCAAAAAATTCATGGTTCGCTGGAGACTCAGTTAGAGTGAGTTTTCAGCATCCGTAGGAACGCCACCACCTTGCAAAGATCAAAGGCGTAGATGCAGCTCCTAAAGCGGTGGGAGGTGAGTAGATCAGCTCACCAGCAAAGTGGTCAAAGACCGAAAATCCCATTCGCTGCATCCATGTGTTAGTCCAGCACTTTTAAAATTTAGTCTGGGACCTCATTGAGCAAACAGACAGAATTTAATTCCCGGCAATTTTCTTCTTATGCAGTGCGGTGATTTGGCACTGAATCTTTGGCATGTCGAGGTTCTCTATGATTCATGATGACATCAGTGTACCTAGTCCAGAGGTTCTCTATGATTCATGATGACATCAGTGTACCTAGTCCAGAGGTTCTCTATGATTCATGATGACATCAGTGTACCTAGTCCAGAGGTTCTCTATGATCAAGAGTACATGAAAACCAGAGTGTGCAGCTCGGATGGGTTGCTGTCACGGCGAAATTCCGTGATTACATCATTTTAGTGATGTAGTGCGTACAAGCAGGATTCAAGCAGGTCTCTTTCTGCACAACTGCAGCTCAGTTGTACGCACTACGCCATTTCCCGCCTAGATCTGGGCCAAATATGATGTAATCACGGAATTTCGCCGTGACAGACACCCATAGCAGAAAAGGCCCCAAGCTGCACACTCTGGTTTTCATGTACTCTTGCTATGATTCATGATGACATCAGTGTACCTAGTCCAGAGGTTCTCTATGATTCATGATGACATCAGTGTACCTAGTCCAGAGGTTCTCTATGATTCATGATGACATCAGTGTACCTAGTCCAGAGGTTCTCTATGATTCATGATGACATCAGTGTACCTAGTCCAGAGGTTCTCTATGATTCATGATGACATCAGTGTACCTAGTAGTCTTATCACTCACACGTGATCTCCATGCTACAAATGTGCACTCACAGATTGTCTCTTATAGCAACAAGAGTGGATTTTGATTCTGAATGAAGCAACAGATCAAGACAGATCAAGACTAGCGCCAGATACCGGTAACTGTCTTGGCTGTTCTTTTTCCGAAGTGCTCCGTGTGGTGTAGACCAGGTGTGCATTGGGGTTGATTCACATACACACACACACGCGCGTGCGCGCACACATACCCCCCCCCCCCCCCCACCACACACACACACACACACACACAAACATACTGGGCCCAAGCTTAGCGCTTTTAAACAACCTACCGAGGGAGTTGGCCACCAAGCGAGCGCTGCGAAGCAGCTGCCCTACAGCTGTGGCGGGAGCATAGCCGCTAGTTGAGTTGTATACAGCATACAGTACAAGACAGGTGCGGAAATCCGCATCCGTATCGCTGCACAGCGATCTGATGGCAGTTTGTGTAGAAGAATCGGCTATGGAGGTAAGGTTTAGCTCCGCGGCGCTCGTGGCGTTGGTGTTGGGGTTCAAGACTGTGTAGTTTGCGGACGGTGTGTACGTGAACGGACTGGTTGTCAAAGTGGCACGGTCTGCAGATGCACGTGCACATACACGTGCACGCACACACACACGCACGCACACAAGCGCACCCATGCACATACATATACGTATACCAATTTAATAATGGCCAGCCGAAAGAGATATAGATGTAGTTATTGGGTAAAGCTTGACTGCCCACTTCTTAAGATCCAGCTGGAAATCAGTACGAGATTCAATACTAGACCGCTCTTGTTTTTAATGCTTTGCATCGTGTGCACAGTTGAGTTACCGTGTATGCATTGGTAAGCTATGCCTGGTGAAGTTCTAGCTTGTTTGTTCTTCGGCACTCCGTTCTTCGGCGCACGACAATACATGTAAAGAGTTCTGACAATAAAAAAAATCGCAACCTACTTCCGTACGTAACTCAACGAGAAGCGGTGAGCACACATGCCCTTTCCCCGGGCACTGCAAAATCACAACTCAGTTCACTGTATCAGTGTCAACGTTTCGGCTAATGGCCCTCATCAGGATGCAATATGAAGTGGAAATCTGCCAAGGAGCAGTTATATTTATACAATAATCTGGTGTTATTTTACAACTTACTGCTCTGCACCATATGCGATGTGAGACGCTCCGGGTTTTGACTACTGGCAGAATGCCGTACGTTAAGTAGACCCGTGAAGCCATCCAGGATCGTGGCAGTCTTCGGAGCTGAGTTAACAACATACAGATAGCAAGTACAAGTTATTGTCAAATACGAGTACACATACACGCACACACACACACACACACACACACACACACACACACACACGCACACACACACACGGGCACACACACACACACACACACACACACACACACACACACACACACATCGTGCATACACATGCACACACAAACACACAATTTTTCTTGTACTTGCTAATTGCCAGAAACTGGCCTCTGGGTCTCTCCGGAACAGGGAGAGAAATTCAGAAGAAATCTTGGATATTGAACTGCCCAAAGGCTGACAAAACTCAAATCCCCAACCTATGGGCGAACTTGGAAGATTTGACTCTACTTGTGGCCTCATCACATCTCAGAAAGTGGGCGAGGACAAGGTGCGAAAAATGTATTGACGGCAGCAAGGTATGCGCCAAGGGACCCAACTGCATTTACCCGTTCCCCCAGTGAAGGTCTAACATGTACTCGCTGCTACAGTCCATTCATCGGAAACTGGCCCGCTGGCTTTTGAAAGTCGGATTTGGGCCGAATTGAGGATCAAAAACCCACTTTAAATCTCAAAAATCTGGGTTTTGGATCAGCTTCTCCATACATTTTGCCATGGCATTCCTGTCCTATTTTTGTAAAACCTGGCTGAATTTCTATTTCCCTGTTCTTGGACTTTTCTGGCCTCAAATATGGCAAAGAGTAATTGCACGGGTCACACAATACAGGACGTACTGTTGTTTTCACGATATCTACAACTATGTGAGAGAGACACCAAAAAGTTAGGGTGCCAGTTTCCAATGAATGGACTGTAGTGTGGGTGGCTGAATCAGAGCAAAAGAACGAACTGATTGTGTTTGGCCTTGCTAACAGCAGTGCATCAGCCGCAGAAATCATTTTCGATCTACAGGTTTGGGTAGAAATTACTTCTTTCGGTAGAGGCGTTCGTTTTTTCTACTCAAAAAGGTAGATTCTACTTTCCTCTACCGGTTCTACCAGGAAAAAGTGTACTTACCTCTACCATCTACCTCTATCGGTAGAGTGACTCTACTCTACTCTACCAGGTAGCTACAAACGAACGCAGCCTTACTCTTACCCTGAAGGTAGACTGTCATAAAAGCACGAGCCCCGGCGACTTTGGTGAGCGTGACGTTTAGCGTTGCTGACCCGCTGCGGATCTGAAGCAGGTCGTTGGCGTAGTGAATCACATCGCTATAGTGACCAGTGCCTAGCCACGATACAGGTAGTTCCCTGTTGCTATCGGAAACGCCAAGCTTCTCGCCAGAAACAAAGATCTCAAGTGTGACAGTAATGGACATTGGTCTGTTGTCACCTGCAGAAAGAGAGATAGATACAATGTACAAAGGAGTAAATTTGGTAATTGCCGGCAAAGTGCTCAATGCACAAAATGCAGAGCGTTTCACACGGAAAAGAGAAATAGGTCCAGTTTGGATTTGTCGTGACTCAAAGTTTCATGCCACTGCAATCATCAGACGGCTGATAATAAAAACCTAAGACCGATCATTATGAATCGGATCGTGCGTGATACTTGGCGCTTAGATGGCCATTACTCTACGCGATACACGAATGAAGGGCCAATATCACACAGATGTTCTGGATGTTGTGAGGGATAAGTAATGGGATAATGTTGGCACTGACGTATGCTAAAGCAGGCATGGTTGTGATGGTTAAGTATAATAAGGACAGTACCCGGCACCCCCATGACTGGTATGGGCACACATCACTGCTAATACTACGTGAGACTCGGTTAGACTCAGTTTTCAGCATCTGTAGGAACGCAACCACCCAGCAAAACTCAGGCTTGTATGCAAGTCAGGCTTCTAATGAAACCAGGTACAGTGAAGCCTGACTAAGACGGCCGCTCAAGGGACCTTCAAAACGTGGTCTCTGTTACCAGGTGGTCTCCTTATCCAGGGTCATTTGACTGGAAATAGCATCTCTTGGTGCTAGTTTCAGTGGTCTTCTAGGACAGGTGATCGCCTTATCCGAGTGGTCGCCTTGTCCGGTTTTACCGTATTTCCTATGTATGTCAACACACCCTAGGCGGACATGACTGTCTCAACCAGCTAGCACATTACGACAACAG